TTTCACACTGGATTACTCCAGATCTGGAAGAAATACACAAAGCACACCAAGATTCAACAAATACGCATGACTTTTTTTTCAGACAATATTTGCTTATCCTGGAGTTCAGTTTTTAAAGTGGATGTAAATAAAGGTGTGTTTTTTTATTTTTTATTTTTTTTACCTTAATTCATTATCTGCATTAAGTTAAAAAAAACTTGATCTGTGTGTTCTCCCTTCCCCCTCCTAAGCACTTATGAGCCCTTTATTGATCCAGCACTTCCTGGTCTGTCTTTGCTGATAGCAGCAGGAGCCATTGTCTCCTGCTGCTTTCAATCAAATCCAGTGAGGAGGGGGCAGGGCTGAGCTGTGCTGTATGTCTGTGGACACACGCAGCCCGGCTCGAGGTCAAGCCTGCATGTCTGGCCCGTAGCAAGGGGCAGATGCAGAAGAGGCGGTTCAGGGCGCTTTCTGCAGTACCACTGCACAGAGCATGTAAGCATAATGTTTGTTAGGGAAAAACAACAACTTTATAACCACTTTAAAGTAACAAAATGCTACTGAGTCATGAGAGGATATAGAAGTTTTAGTTGTAACAATGCATAAAACAAAGTTCGTGTAATCATAAGATTATGTAAGGACTCCTAATGTTTTTGCAAAACTGTCACATGTTGCCACACCGCAGCTGTGTTGTTGTCTACACTGTAACCATTATTATTTTCATCCACCTTTCCTGTTAAGGTAGAGTGATGATGTTTTTGCAGTTTTTACTAACTTCCTTGCACACATTGTCGATTGGTACATGTAGCCACCTTTTGCATATTACAGTCAAATTAATTTTGGGTCTGCTTTTTTTTTCCCCCTAGACATTTGCTTGATACAAATTTTCTCCTTTTTTATAAAACATCTAAATTTTAATTTGTTTGGAGGTATGTATATGTGTGTGTGTAAATATGTGTGTGTGTGTGTGTGTGTATGTGTGTGTGTATATAGACCTAAACAACCCTAGACCAATCTCCCTGCTGCCATTTACATCCATACTCCTTGAGCGCATAGTCTATAATCGCCTAAGCTCCCACCTCAACGACAACAATCTCCTTGATCCCCTACAGTCCGGCTTCCGTCCCCTACATTCCACCGAAACCGCCTTACTCAAACTCGCCAATGACCTGCTAACCTAAAGCTAATGGCCACTACTCAGTCCTCCTACTCCTCGACCTCTCTGCGGCCTTCGACACAGTTGACCACCCCCTCCTCCTTAAAAAACTATACTCTCTTGGCCTAAGAGACTCCGCTCTCTCCTGGCTCTCCTCCTATCTATTCCAGCGCTCCTTTAGTGTTACCTATAACGCTGCCACCTCCCCCTCTCTGTTGGGGTCCCTCAAGGCTTTGTCCTCGGGCCCCTCCTCTTCTCCATCTACACCTCCTTTGGTCAGCTGATACACTCCCATGGCTTCAACTACCACCTCTATGCCGATGACACGCAAATCTACCTCTCCACCCCTCGCCTCACCCTTTCAGTCTCCGCCCGAAATCACCTGCCTACTGAACGACATATCAGATTGCATGTCACTCAATTTCCTAAAATTAAACATTTCCAAAACCAAGCTCCTAGTTTTCCCCCCAGCCCGTGCCCCCCCAACCCTCTCCATCACGACCAACAACACCACCATCGGTCCCACCCCGCAAGCCACAGTTCTAGGTGTCACTCTAGACTCAATCTGTCCTTCCTGCCCCATGTCCAATCGCTGGCAAATTCATGCAGGCTCCACCTCCGCAACATCCCAAAAATACGCACGTTCCTAACCCCAGAAACTACAAAGCAACTCATTCACTCCCTCATTATCTCACGACTTCGGTTACTGTAACTCCCTTCTCACCGGCTTACCTCATCTCAGGCTATCCCCGCTTCAGTCTATCCTGAACTCTGCGGCCAGACTCATCCACCTTACCAACCGCTCCGTATCTGCCACCCCCCATTGTCATTCCCTCCACTGGCTTCGATTGCCCAACGCATAAAATTCAAATTACTAACATTGATGTACAAAGCTGTTCATAACACTGCCCCAAACTACCTCACCGACCTGATATCCAAATACCACCCTACCCGTACTCTTAGCTCCTCACAAGACTTCCTACTCTCTAGTTCCCTGGTCTCCTCCTCCCATGCCCGACTCCAGGTCTTCCCCCATCCTCTGGAACTTACTACCCCAATCCATCAGACTGTGACCTACCCTCCTCACCTTTAGGCGCACCCTGAAAACCCTCACCTAACTGCTGATCTTCTCCACTCCTCCTACCACTCCATCCCCCACAGCCATTTCCTCCTGTACCACTATCCCCTCCCTCCTAGATTGTAAGCTCTAAGGAGCAGGGCCCTCCGTTCCCTCGTGTATTGTTACTGTATTGTCTCATGTACTGTCTCCCACTCTAATGTACAGCGCTGAGCAAACCTTTTGGCGCTATATAAATACTGTATAATTATAAATACTATATATATTATATATATATATATATATATATATATATATATATATATATATATATATACACTTCTGCTGTGTGATGAGACACCTAACTAAGAGGTGGAAAGCCTCATTTTCGTCATTCACGGCGTGCACTGCTAGTAATACAGAGTGTCAGAGTTTACTGAGCTTCAAAGAGGGAAAATTGTTGGTGCTGCTTAGCTGGTGCCTCTGTGACTGAAGTTGCCTATTTATTTGCCATGTCGCGAGGTCCAGCATGAAAGGTTGTGAAGGCATATATACATCAGGCAAAATAAGTATTGAACACGTCACCATTTTTCTCAGTAAATATATTTCTAAAGATGCTATTGACATGAAATTGTATGTATGGACTGCATGGGTTGTTACCAACGTGTAATGACAAAGAAACCAAAACAAACAAGTTCAGCAAACTATCCCTTTTGTCATTCCATTTTATGTACTGAACTCGCTAACTGAAATGTATTTAATACATCATACAAAATCCTTTGTTGGTAATGACGGCTTTAAGATGCCTCCTGCATTTAGAAACTTGTTGCATGCAGTACTCAGGTGTGATTTTGTCCCATTCTTGGCCTCAGTCTTCAAATCTTGAAGGTTCTGTGGGCCTCTTCTATGAACTCTGCTCTTGAGTTCTTTCTATAGATTTTCTATTGGATGCAAGTCAGGTGATTGGCTGGGCCATTCTAGCAGCTTTATTTTCTTTCGTTGAAACAAATTGCGAGTTTCTTTGGCTTGTGTTTGGGATCATTATCTTGGTAAAATGTCCACCCTCATTTCATCCTCATCATTCTTGTAGATGGCATTTTATCAATGTCTTGGTGCATTTTTCCTTTCATCCATCCTTGAATGACATGAAGTTTGCCAGTACCGTATGCTGAAAAAAAGCCCCACATCATGATATTCCCACCTCCAAACGTCACTGCTGATATGGTGGTTTTGGGATGATGTTCAGAGCCATTTGACCTCCAAACATGGTGTGTTCTATGGCATCCAAAGAGTTCATTTTTGGTCTCATTTGACCAGACTATATTACCCCAGTATTTCACAGGCTTGTCTAAATGTTGTGCAGTAAACTTTAAATGAGCTTCAACATTCTTTCTGTGGAGTCTTGCTTGGTGAGTGTGCATAAAGGCCAGGCCATGGGGAGTGTGCATACAGGCCATGGCTCTTGAGTGCATTGTTTTCTTTGAAACAATTGTACCTTCTAATTCCAGGTCTTTCTGAAGCTCTCCACAAGTGGTTCTTGGCTTTTGGACAACTCTTCTGATAATTCTTTTCACTCCTCTGTCAGAATTCTTGCGAGGAGCACCTGGTTGTGGCCAGTTTATGGTGATATGTTCTATCCACTTCCCCAACAGTGCTCACTGGATCATTCAGAAGTTTAGAAATCTTTCTGTAACCCATTTCATCAGTATGTTTTGCAACAATAAGTTTGCAAAGGTCTTGAGAGAACTCTTTGCTTTTACCCATCATGACATGTTTCTTGTGTGACCCCCTTGGTAATGAGATACTGTTTTATAGGCCATCAGTTGAGACTGAACCGGATCATATTAATTTGCACTGACAAGGGGCAGGATTGCTTTCTAATTACTGATAGATTTCAGATGGTGTCTTGGCTTTCCATGCCTTTTTGCAGATCCTTTTCATGTGTTCAGTACTTTTTCCCCTGTGTCATTCCATTTTATTACACATAACTTAATTTCTGAACTTATTTGTTTTGTTTCTTTGTATGGATTGCATTGGTTCTTATCGAACTATGGTGAAAATTTCATGTCAATAGCACATTTTAGAAATATGGGTCTATTAGTGTGATGACGTCAGGAACAGTCCATTCACAAGACGGCCAGCATGCAGGGGGGAGCAGAAAGTGGCAAGGACCTTGTGGTTGGAGGATCGGCAGATTAGGTAAGTATATCTTCACTCTTATCACCCCTACACAAAAATGAGCAGTTGGCCCATGCAGTGCAGGCACAGCCTCACTGCATGGTACAAAATTTTTTTTTTGCCCAGAATTTTGCTTTAAATTAAATGCATCTTTCCGAGTGTAAAAGAAAAAATGAAGTCTGTTAATGGAGAATTACAGCTTGCTGCATGTGTATATATAGGTACAACATTCTGTATTTACAGGTTCATATATGGCTGAAAATAGAGTATGCGCACATGTGGATACTTGGCGTTTGACATAACAGAACAAAATGGGCAATAAAAATGATGATAAATTACACCTTCTGTGATCCTACCCTGCTTGTACTTCATGTCTGCCCCAAATTCTTTGGTGGGAGTTGAATGACTTACCAAGTGCTTTGCATATATAGCCCTGGAGGAAGTGCCTGGTGGTCTGATGTTGGATATAATTACTGGTCAGGCTCGATCACTCATTTCTCAGTAAAAGGTTTCCAGATTAAGCAAATCATTCTGATGTTTATTGTTATTCCATCTCCTGCTTATATTATGTTTCTTTAGTTTTGTTCAATGCCTGATATTCTCTTTCTGTTGTTGCAGGTCAGTTGATAAATGGATAAAGTTGGGAAAATGTGGAACACATTCAAATATCGGTGCCAGAATCTCTTTAGCCATGAGGAGGATGGGAATCAAAATGACATTGTGGATGTTAATGCCAACAGATGTACGAATGGTGGGGATAAAGCAGAGGGTTCCGCTGGTCCGGCCTCCATGCAGTCAGCTAGTCCCCTACACCAAAACATTTCTCCTGAACTGAGCCTGAGTCCTTGCAGTGGTTCTAGTAGGAGGAATCCAAACTGTGTTTCGGAAATGCCACAGTTAGTTGAAATTAGTATTGAAAAGGACAATGACATGGGTCTAAGCACAGGTGCCCGTCTGGCACGCAGAGACTCGTATACTCGCCATGCCCCATGGGGTGGCAAAAAGAAGCATTCATGCTCCACCAAAACTCAGAACTCTATTGATCCAGACAAAAAGATTAGTAGGCAAAGGAGCGGGCTTCAAAGGAGAGAGAGGCGTCATGTGGTAGGATCAGTTCACGATGTGGAGGCTGTTTCAAGCAGAGCGGTTGGAAGTCGCAGTTTACGGCAGAGGCTGAATGAGACTGTGGGCTTGTGTTTTCCGATTAGAGCTTATAATAGGCAGTCAAAGCCACTTTTTACTACTAAGAGGAAAATTCATCTCTCTGAACTGATGCTTGAAAAATGCCCCTTTCCTGCTGGATCTGATCTGGCCCAAAAATGGCACCTGATTAAACAGCATACAGCTCCTGTCAGTCCACACTCAAGCATACTGGACACTTTTGAGCAGTCTTTGCTTTCTGCTGAAGATGAAGAGGATCGATTACGGGAGAGGCGTAGGCTTAGTATTGAGGAAGGTGTTGACCCTCCACCAAATGCCCAAATCCACACTTTTGAAGCAACAGCACAAGTCAACCCTGTATATAAGCTTGGACCAAAACTTGCTCCTGGCATGGCTGACATGACTGGTGACAATGGTGCAGCATCACAAGGCGGGTGTGAGTCTGAAGAAGACGGCACAACTCTCTGCCTGCAGTCACGGCGACAGAAACAGCGCCAGTTTTCAGGAGACAGCCATATTCAAACTAATAGACAGGGAGCCTGGAAAGTGCACACTCAGATCGATTATATTCACTGCCTTGTGCCAGATCTGGTGGAAATCACAAGCAACCCATGTTACTGGGGGGTCATGGATCGCTATGAGGCAGAGGCCTTGTTGGAAGGCCGGCCAGAGGGCACTTTTTTGCTCAGGGATTCCGCACAAGAGGACTATCTATTCTCCGTGAGCTTCCGCCGCTACAACCGATCTCTGCATGCACGCATTGAGCAGTGGAACCACAACTTCAGCTTTGATGCTCACGACCCCTGTGTGTTTCACTCCTCCACTGTTACTGGACTCTTAGAACACTATAAAGATCCCAGCTCTTGCATGTTTTTCGAGCCCTTGCTGACGGTACCTTTAAACAGAACTTTCCCTTTTAGCTTGCAGTATATCTGCAGAGCAGTCATTTGCAAGTCTACCACCTATGATGGTATTGATCTACTTCCTTTGCCATCTATGTTACAAGACTTCCTTAAAGAGTATCATTATAAGCAAAAGGTCAGAGTGCGGTGGCTAGAGAGGGAGCCCATTAAGTCAAAATAATAAAAAAGCAACATTTCTTATTGTCCTGTCTTTACCTTCCAGATTATCACCTCATAGATTTAGAATATGCTCAACGTGTATCAGTTAAATAAAAAAAAAAAAGCACATGTACCTGTATTTAGATGATAATAATCGAGTATGACACTTCAAGCTTTAAGTGTATCTGTCTATTCTCTTCTGCTTATACAGAAGACATTTTGTGCATTCTGTGGAACGATGAAGCAGAATCTCTAAACTGCATGTTCTTATGAATGCTAACACTAATTGTACTAATGCTCGTATCTCCGTTTTGTAGCAGGAAATGAAGTGTCTATATGGCTTAAAGGAAAGAAAAAAAAAAAAAAAAAAAAATTGACAATTACATAAAATAGTTTACTTGTCCAGATTAAGCTATGTTTTCCCACCGTATAAAATCCTAGATCTCCCAAAAAAACCCTATATGACAATTTTGTCTTTCCCATCATGGTGTGGAGAATAAATCTGTTGCCTTTTTATTAAGCTAAAGTCCATAATATGCTGTCGCAATAGAAAATATTTTTACTGAGAAAAAAAAATTTAAAAATCAAGTTGTTGAACTGGTGCTTACTTGGTTAAAGAGAACAGAGTTCGAAAGGATCACAAACTAAAATACAGGTTGACTTTGGATGTTCCTCACAGTTCTGCTGTGGTAACTTGCGTGTTGGTCTGCTGTGTTTGTTCTTGAAGCAGATCTCCACCCAAACCCTTCCCCCAATTTTTTTTTCTTTTTCATTTTATCCCTGCTTACTGGAAAGTGGTATGTGCACATTTCAGGTACTCGCCCATCAAGCCGATACAGAGCTGTCTCACTGAGATCCTCCCATGCCCTGCCACCACTCTGTCCTGTGCCACCATGTTCTTTCCGACCGTAATTGAAAGGCCCTGCGGCTACTCTGGGTTCAGCAGGCGGGCCTCCCGATAACCCGCCGATAGGCCCGCACCTTCTATTCCACTCCGGAATGAAAGGCTATGCCTCTTGGGATATGTGACATGCATATTCCAGTAGGCACAGTAGACTGTTGTGCACTTCGTTCGTCTAGGTAAGCTGGAGACATGCATGGGGATGGTGGGGACAGACTTTTTTTTTTTTTTTTTTTTTTTTTTTACACAAACGTAAACAAAATGAAACAAAACCGTGCTATACACATACAGGATGGTAGGAGGGGTGGAGAGGCAGGAAGTTGTTTCAGAGGGTGAAGATCTGCTTTAATGTTACACCAGGCCAGCAAACATGCATTGCAGAGCACCACAATTAACAGTAACGCACTATACTGTGCTGTTAAAAAAAAAAAAAAAAAAAAAAAAAAAACCATGCCATTTTTGTGGTACATTGGGCAGTCCATTCAGAAAAGATTGCCCTAACTAACACAACGCATGTTAACACATGACATAATGCACATTAGTCACATCACAACAGCGTGAAGCCAGCCTTATTAATGAACATTCACACTTTTGTGCAGTTGTAAAATTGCCGGTTTGCCTTATTGTGTTGCCCAGTTTGTGCTAGAATGACCGTTTCGATGTTACGGGCATGACTTTTTTTCCATAGACCTCTAGACAAAGCACCAAAATTCATTAATAAATAGGACCTATCCTGAGAACCTAGTTTTAGCACAGTCAACAGTAGACAACAATCCATTTCTTATCCAGCCTATTTTAGCCAGATTGGGTAGTAGACCTACTGTGTGTGTGTGTGTCTGTGTGTGTGTGTGTGTGTGTGTGTGTGTGTCAACAGATACTTGGAGAGAGCGCAATCAAATTAGAAGATTTTCTCTGATCTACTTCCATTTTCCCAGCACCGCAAGTGATGTCTGAGTGCATTCCATGCTCCAGTCACAGAAACAGGTTCACTGACAGTGGTTGATAAGCAGCTCCCTAGCAGTAAGATTATAAATGTGTCCAATGGACCACACATTGTTTTAGCTGTCAGTCTGCACAAACAGCAGTATCTGCACAAATCCTTTTTTTTTTTTTTTTCTTTTTTTTAGAAGTCTGCTTGTATTTTGGCCACTGTGATCCTTTAAGTTGAACTTTTAAAAGCCTTTTCATGGACTTTCCGCAAGATAGATTTTATGGTGCAATAAGGCAGTCAGTGGTCATCATTATGGCTGGCCTCAGTGGAATTGTAGAAAAATACTGTTTTCCACTTCATAGAAGTGCAAACAAATTAAGCTAGTAAGTATAACTGTAGCATATGAAATTGGTGAAATGATATAATGTCAGCAACCTTAAAACTGTGCATCCAGCATTACTGCAGGTGCCTTTTGTTAAGGTGGACGTGTTACCTTGCTCAGTTAACTCCTCTTTTCTTTATTTTTATATAAAATTGTCTTAAAAATGTGGAATAATGCAAGAATCTGTTATTGTATTAATAAACTTAGTGAATCCAGAATAATTTCTAGATCAATTTGTATAAAATTTCACAGTGGCCAGGATTCTATAAGGTCCCAGTGTTCGGCCTTAATTTTAATATCGGTGGTTTGTATAGAATGGCGCAATTTTGTTATTGACTTATATTGGACATAATGCATTTTAAATTCCCATGTCGTTAGTTGAATTCCAGCCTAAAGCTAACTGGTCTTGAAAATGATCCCTCCTTCCTAACACCTATGTTGACCTTTGTAAGAAAAATGTATATACTTGCCTATTTTCAGCCTTTTCCAGATCGTTATTTGACTTGGTTTCCCATATGTCAGTTGCCGGATGCTGCAGAAGGAAGGGCCACCAACATTGGATGGTCCATGGGAGCCTATTTGTATTTTCATCTCTCTCAGGCATTCCCAGCCATTGTCGAGCACTCTTCTCCCATGCAGCTGCCACTTACACAGAGGATCACGTGACCAGAGCACACTGAAAATAGATCAGTATATATGTTGCTTGGTGGCCCCCCTCACTCTGGCTGTTGAAGTCCTGTGCAATGGATGCCACTGGCTTATGAGGGTGCAGACTGGAGATGGGTTCATCCAGGCCTGATACACCGTGAAGATGATTAAGCATTAGGGGTAAAACGCATTGGGGACGAGGCTTCAATGAATTGAGCTGAGGCTGCTTTTACCTGCTAATAACATGGCCAGAGGAGGTGTGTGGCATCCAGGAAACCCCTTCTCCTCTTCAGTATATATATCGTACTTACACAGATTATTCCACATAGTGGGGGGGGGCAGGGGGGGGGACTAGCATTTTTAAGACTGTGTTTTAAAGTAGAAATCTGGACTAAACCTAAGGACTGGTATATGAAAAGTGTTATAAAATGTTCTTTGTTGCTCACAGAACTCTGATATTTTTGCAGTCTAGATCTGAAAATGAAACCTGTTTTTTTTTTGATTGGTTGCTGCGGTCATTTTCTAATTTTTTTGTAAATAGTCCTAGATCTTTATTAGTGACATTCTGGAACCTGGCTACATGCTAAATAGCCTGATGCAGCTGAAAAGTGATCCAAAGACTAGCCCATTTTGTAAACCCAAAGGAAAGTGTTCATATTCTGGTGCCATCATATTACTAGTTCCAAGAAAAGCAGCAGGGTGATTGGGACAGACCATAAACGCTGCCTCCTCAGTATTTAGATTGTGTAGTCTTTCCAATGCATATATACGTATATTTGACAAGTGCTGCCACAATAGTAGGTCCTTTGCTTGGTTGTCCATCCCCTCTAAAGGGTAATTACAATTTTTAAAATGATTTTTAGGCCCATTTAGATGCATTGCAAGGGTTTTAGGAAACCACCTTGCAGTCCCACCTGCCTGTATTCTGAAACTTGCAAATGCATTCACTTCCTACTTCCTTGTGCCTGCTTTAATCACATGACCTCTGTGTTGGAACAAGAGACAAAGCAAATGGGAACAGCAGTGACCCATTCATTCACTGGAACAATAAATTTCATTTCTGGGGATGTACAGAACTTTCCCAGCAATGTAATTTTATTTCCATACTTACATTGAAACTTTTTTGGATTTACAGTTTAAAAGTTTAATGTGTATAGATTACATTTTACTAAAAATTCCCTTTTTTAATTACAAATTGGCTTGTGTAGCAATTGCATATGCTTATGTAATTTTTTTTAAACAAAAATGTAATTTTCCTAAGCATTACTAATATATACAGTGCCTTGCAAAAGCATTCATACCCTTTGAAATTTTCCACAGTTTGCAACCAAAAAAATTTATTTTATTGGGATTTTATGTGATAGACCAACACAAAGTAGCACATAATTGTGAAGTGGAAGATAATCAGAAGAAAATGATAAATGTTCAAAATGTTTTACAAATACCTGAAAAGTGCGGCGTGCATTTGTATTCAGCCCCTTTTACTGTGATACCACTAACTAAAATCTAGTGCAACCGATTACCTTCAGAAGTCACCTAATTAGATTAAATTACATACAGGTGGACTCTATTTACTCAGTATAAATACAGCTGTTCTGTGAAGCCCTCAGAGGTTTTATAGAGAACATTAGTGAACAAACTGTATCATGGAGACCAAGGAACACACCAGACAAGCCAGGGATAAAGTTGTGGAGAAGTTTAAAGCAGGGTTGGGTTATGAAAAAATATCCCAATCTTTGAACATCTCACGGAGCACTGTTCAATCCATTATCCAAAAATAGAGAGTATGGCACAACTGCAGACCTACCAAGACATGGCCGTCCACCTACACTGACAGGCTGAGCAAGGAGAGCATTAATCAGAGAAGTAGCCGTGAGGCCCATGGGAACTCGGAGGAGCTGCAGAGATCCACAGTCAGGTGGGAGAGTCTGTCCACAGGACAACTATTAGTCGTGCACTCCACAAATCTGGCCTTTAGGGAAGAGTGGCAAGAAGAAAGCCATTGTTGAAAGAAAGCCAGAAGAAGTCGTTTTTGCAGTTTGCGAGAAGCCATGTGGGGGACATAGCAAACATGGAAGAAGGGGCTCTGATCAGATGGCTCTTGGCCTAAAAGCAAAACGTGTGGTGAAAAACTAACACTGCGCATCACCCTGAACACAC